TTTGACAAAATTCAACACCCATTTATGATAAAAACTCTGCAGAAAGTAGGCATAGAGGGAACTTTCCTCAACATAATAAAGGCCATATGTGACAAGCTCACAGCCAACATCATCCTCAATGGTGAAAAACTGAAATCATTTCCACTAAGATCAGGAACAAGACAAGGGTGCCCACTCTCACCACTCTTATTCAACATAGTTTTGGAAGTTTTAGCCACAGCAATCAGAGAAGAAAAGGAAATAAAAGGAATCCAAATCGGAAAAGAAGTAAAGCTGTCACTGTTTGCAGATGACATGATACTATACATAGAGAATCCTAAAGATGCTACCAGAAAACTACTAGAGCTAATCAATGAATTTGGTAAAGTAGCAGGATACAAAATTAATGCACAGAAATCTCTGGCATTCCTATACTCTAATGATGAAAAATCTGAAAGTGAAATCAAGAAAACACTCCCATTTACCATTGCAACAAAAAGAATAAAATATCTAGGAATAAACCTACCTAAGGAGACAAAAGACCTGTATGCAGAAAATTATAAGACACTGATGAAAGAAATTAAAGATGATACAAATAGATGGAGAAATATACCATGTGCTTGGATTGGAAGAATCAACATTGTGAAAATGACTATACTACCCAAAGCAATCTATAGATTCAATGCAATCCCTATCAAACTGCCAATGGCATTTTTCAGAGAACTAGAACAAAAAATTTCACAATTTGTATGGAAACACAAAAGACCCTGAATAGGGGAAGCAATCTTGAGAACGAAAAACAGAGCTGGAGGAATCAGGCTCCCTGACTTCAGACTATACTACAAAGCTACAGTAATCAAGACAGTATGGTACTGGCACAAAAACAGAAAGATAGATCAATGGAACAGGATGGAAAGCCCAGAGATAAACCCATGCACATATGGTCACCTTATCTTTGATAAAGGAGGGAGGAATGTACAGTGGAGAAAGGACAGCCTCTTCAATAAGTGGTGCTGGGAAAACTGGACAGGTACATGTAAAAGTATGAGATTAGATCACTCCCTAACACCATACACAAAAATAAGCTCAAAATGGATTAAAGACCTAAATGTAAGGCCAGACACTATCAAACTCTTAGAGGAAAATATAGGCAGAACACTCTATGACATAAATCACAGCAAGACCCTTTTTGACCCACCTCCTAGAGAAATGGAAATAAAAACAAAAATAAACAAATGGGACCTAATGAAACTTCAAAGCTTTTGCACAGCAAAGGAGACCATAAACAAGACGAAAAGATAACCCTCAGAATGGGAGAAAATATTTGAAAATGAAGCAACTGACAAAGGATTAATTTCCAAAATTTACAAGCATCTCATGCAGCTCAATAACAAAACAACAAACAACCCAATCCAAAAATGGGCAGAAGACCTAAATAGACATTTCTCCAAAGAAGATATACAGACTGCCAACAAACACATGAAAGAATGCTCAACATCATTAATCATTAGAGAAATGCAAATCAAAACTACAATGAGATATCATCTCACACCAGTCAGAATGGCCATCATCAAAAAATCTAGAAACAATAAATGCTGGAGAGGGTGTGGAGAAAAGGGAACACTCTTGCACTGCCGGTGGGAATGTGAATTGGTTCAGCCACTATGGAGAACAGTATGGAGGTTCCTTAAAAAACTACAAATAGAACTACCATATGACCCAGCAATCCCACTACTGGGCATATACCCTGAGAAAACCAAAATTCAAAAAGAGTCATGTACCAAAATGTTCATTGCACCTCTATTTACAATAGCCCGGAGATGGAAACAACCTAAGTGCCCACCATCGGATGAATGGATAAAGAAGATGTGGCACATACATACAATGGAATATTATTCAGCCATAAAAAGAAACGAAAGTGAGCTATATGTAATGAGGTGGATAGACCTAGAGTCTGTCATACAGAGTGAAGTAAGTCAGAAAGAAAAAGACAAATACCGTATGCTAACACATATATATGGAATTTCAAGAAAAAAAAATGTCATGAAGAACCTAGGGGCAAGACAGGAATAAATACACAGACCTACTGGAGAACGGACTTGAGGATATGGGGAGGGGGAAGGGTGAGCTGTGACAAAGCGAGAGAGAGGCATGGACATATATACACTACCAAACGTAAGGTAGATAGCTAGTGGGAAGCAGCCGCAGAGCACAGGGAGATCAGCTCCGTGCTTTGTGACCCCCTGGAGGGGTGGGATAGGGAGGGTGGGAAGGAGGGAGATGCAAGAGGGAAGAAATATGGGAACATATGTATATGTATAACTGATTCACTTTGTTATAAAGCAGAAACTAACACACCATTGTAAAGCAATTATACCCGAATAAAGATGTTAAAAAAAAAAAAGAAAAAGAAAGATGCTATGATGATCCATGTAAAAAAAAAGTATGACACTTAAAAATAATGAAAAGACAAGCCACAGATTAGCAGAAAATATTTGGAAAATATATATCTCATAAAGGACTAACTCATACAGAACACCTAAAGAAATTTTACAAGTCACAATAATGAGAAATCAATCAAGCAAATAAAAAATGGGCAAAAGATCTGAATGAACATTTCACAAAAAAAGAAGGTAGGGGGATTGATGGCAGATAAACGTATCTTTTAAATGCACAACATCATTTCATCATTAGGAAAATTAAAATCAGTATGAGATACCACTTTATCAGAATAGTGAAAATTAAAAAGACTGACAATAATAAGCCCTTACAAAGATAAGGAACTATCATACATTGCTGATGGGAAGGCAGAATGACAGTCACCCTGAAAAAAGAGTTTCACAGTTTCTTATAAATTTCAACATAGCACTTACCATTAGAACCAGAAATTCCAATACTGGGTATTTATTCAAGAGAAATGACAACTTACATCAACACAAAGACCTATATTTAAATATTCACAGCAGCATTATTCATTGTAGTGATGGTTACTTACTTCATACATTTGTCAAACTCATTGAACTGTATACATTAAAAGGGTAAATTTTATTGTATGTAAATTATAACTCAAAAAAACCTAACCTGTAAAAAAATTTCTTTCAAAAGTCATCCATTCCCTGACTCTATCCAGGTCTGTCTACATACCTCTTAAACATACTCCCATAGCTCTCTTTGCAGCTATTCACCGATCATCAGTTTACCGGGTCTAAGAACCTTATCTGACTCATCTCTGGATCCTTAACACTAAGAACGATGCCTGCTAGAAAGCAGATGACCAATCAATGAACCTCAGTGATCCTGGCTATTAACCTAACACATCTTAGCCTTGCTTTCCTCTAAAAATTTGTAATTCTATTATATCTGATTTTCTAGTAGCCTGTTACTTGTTATACCTATTTCATAAGTGACTTTCTACAGGATATTAAGTGTCTAGTTGGCTTAGAAAAATGTTTTCTCTTTCTCTTGTTCTCTGCGATACCAACATAACCAACTTTGTAAGAAGGCACCTGAATGCTAACTCTCTGAAATTAGGGTAAGTTAGACATAAGCACAGCTGGGTATTTTAAGAAAACAACCACCTAAGGAATGTGTGAACTGAAAAGCATGATGAAGGCCATCTTCTCTGGCCAAAAAAAACCCCTCCCCTACAAGCCTATAGCCCTGCAACTCTAATGTTAAGAAGCCCCACCCCCACACAACATAAACAAGTGCTTAATATCATAATCTATACACAGAGAGCCAACTCCGGCATGTAGCAAGATAGAAAGAGTACGTGCCTCAGGGCAGGGCTGGTTAGCCAGGCTAAAGGCAACAAGCATTTGGTACTAAAAGAGAGGAGAAAGACCCTAAGCCACAAGTCAGTACTTCATGAGTTTTAATTAAGACCAGCCCTAAAACAAAAGAAAAAAAATAAAAATAAAACAGAATTTGTAGCAGGTTAGAATTTAGTTAAGCAAAATATTCATTGCATGCATTGTTCTGGTCACTATAAAAGAACACAAAATAAAGTATAGTATGCAAAATAAGGGAAGAGCTGTTTTGCTTTTTTTTTAATCTGAAAAAGAAAAATGTAGAATTGTTTCTCTAAAAGAAACATACCAGAAAGTATATACTGAATAAATAGTAAAAAATATGAAGCATGTTTGTAGATATAACTAACATTTTAGGGTTACCTTTATCAGTAGTCCCACAGGTATCACAAAATAGAAATGGCATTTATTCCAATGTGGGCTGAGTGGTTACCAAGGACTACATGTATATACCAGTGTGGTACAGCAGAAAGAGAATGAATTTTTAAGTCAGGCCTAATTTAAATCCCAGCTCCACCTAGCAGTGTGATCTTGATACTTTCTTAAATTCTCTGAGGCACAATTTTCCCATCAGGAAACTATGGGCAATAATATCAACTTTCACAAGGTCACTATAAACATTAACTGTAATTACTTACGTCTGGGTATGGCAAACAGGTTTCATTTCAGATGCAATGCTGATATGTTTCTAGTTGCATCCTGGAACACTGTGTTAGAAAGGATTATGGAGCTACTTCTGAGCTCAGCTGTAAGAGTGCTATGATGAGTTAGCTACATCAGTCATGGGGAATGGGTAGCAGTATATGAGCCAGGCATTTGTCATCCCTGTGCTCAATAAACAGAAGCTCTTCTTATTCTTGGAATAACCCCACTCTACTGGTCATAAGAGAGTGCTTATTTTCAACTTAATTTTCAGATTCTAGGGGAAACATCCAATAGGACAGAACAAGCAGAGTGCTATGAGAAAGCATATGCTTTTCTACCTGCCCCCCCAAAAAAATATCCTCTTAAATTATCAGCTTAAGGCAGTTCTTCATAAATATTTTCAGTCATTTTTTAAACCTGGCAATGACTCAAATTTCTGTAAGTAAGTGAACAATCATAAAGGGTCTCTCTTTATAATAGGAAATGTAGAATCAGAAGATTCAACAGAAAAAGCTAGACTGTTCATTTAGAGAAGACAACTACTTGAAACTGCAGTCTAAAAATTACCTGCTGACCCAAATATTTCAGCCCATCCAAACAGACTTTCCATTCAATCAACAGCTGGTAGATGTCCTCCTTTCCACCCCAAATCTTCACCACGAAACAAGACACAGATGTATCGAGACGGTCCGGCATTATTCCAAAATCAAGACTCCGCCATGTTGGATTCTGTTGATGGAAATGAAAACATGCTTTAGGAAGACCCTAAATGTTTACGGTTTACAGTTATTTCAGTTAGGTTGTACATCATTTTGTTCTTTAACCAAAAGAACTTATAAATATACTAAATTGCAAACTTAAGAAGACATTCCAATTAACATAAAGAGGGTGATATCGGTACTTTTTAATTTCTCTGCTTATTTATTATAGTCAATAGAAGGAGCATATATTCTAATCTCTCATTAACATGGCTTCCTATGGTAATTCATTTATTTATTCAACACAATACACAATTATTAAGAAGCAACTTATACACAATGCCCTCAAAGTACCTCCAACTTGTTGCTGGATTCAAACCTCCCTTTAAATAATTACATTGTTTCATGAAAAGTGCAATATGCAAAAGGTTACAAAGTAGCACAGGAGGGAATAATAAACTTGGAAGGCACAGGGGAAAGACAGCACACAGGCTATGAAACTTGGCTTTTATAGGACAAACAGTAGTTCACCAGATTAAAATAAGGAATTGCAGGCAAAGGGAAAATAATATACAAGGGCTCAGAGGTGTGAAATAGCACAGTGTGGTCAGGGAACTAAGACAACTGCTGGAGCACACAACACAAGAGCGGCAGGACGCAGAGCTGGAGAGACCAACACGAGACTCCTTGCCAAGGAGGTGGTACTTTACTGTGTACAAGACGTGGGGCTACTGAAAGGTTTTAAGGTTAAGAATGGCATGGTCAACTTTATGCTCTGAAAGAACTTTGTTTTTCATTAAGAGGATTATCCAGATAGTTGAAACATTCTTTGAAAAGTGAAAAAGTTAAGGGGCTTTAATATTATCAATAGACGTGAACTACAATGCATCGATTACTTACTTTCATTTATTTCCCTTACATTAAATGTTAGGGCTTTCATTGCTGAATGTAACTATAATTAATTTCATTAAATTATCAATTTTCATATTACACAAATCAGTAAATCAAAAGGTCCTCATATAAGGGTAATTAGTCTTTGCTTTGTGGCAGTTTTTCTTCCTGACCAAAGTGGGGACAGAGTAGGGCAGTGTTTTTGTTTTAGGGGATATATTGATGTATGTGTTTTTGTGGGTTTGGCTGTTGACATTTCAGGAGTGGGAACATGACTTCCAGTTTCATGGCACTTACGTCTGATCTATCTTTTTCACTTGTATATTTTTATTGTCTGATTTTCTTGCATTAAAATAAAAGCTCTGATAGAAACATTGCCTGATTTGTTTACCACAAGATCCCCAAAGTTTGAAAAGTACCTGCTATGTGCTCAATAAATATTTGCTGCTGGTGGCGCAGTGGTTAAGAATCTGCCTGCTAATGCAGGGGACATGGGCTCGAGCCCTGGTCCGGGAAGATCCCACATGCCACAGAGCAACTAAGCCCGTGCGCCACAACTACTCAGCCTGTGCTCTAGAGCCCATGAGCCACAACTACTGAGTCCACACGCCGCAACTACTGAAGCCCGCGAGCGTAGAGCCCATGCTCTGCAACAAGAGAGGCCACCGCAATGAGAAGACTGTGCACCACAACAAAGGGTAGCCCCTGCTCGCCACAACTAGAGAAAGCCTGCACGCAGCAACAAAGACCCAACACGGCCATAAATTAATTAATTAATTAAAAATATATATATTTGCTGAATGAGTGAATGAATGTCCAATTAACCAAAATGGATGTTTGAGGACACCAAAAGATTATCGATAAATAGCATGATAATAACACAATAAACACATTGTGCAATCAGCTTTATTCTGATTCCACACCATCCAAGAATTTCAACCTAAGATCAACAGAACTCCATTCTTACATGACCCCCAGTCTCTATCCCACCATAATTGTTTTAGCAACCCTTCTAGATAGGGGTAGAGTTTCATTTAAAAATGAAGATAAACATTAAGGTCTAGGAATAACCAGGCAGACCTGTACTACAAGAAATGCTAAAGGAAGTTCTTCAGGCTGAAGAGAAATGACACCAGATAGAAACCTGGATCTTTAAGAAGGAATAAAAAGCACTGGCAATGGTAAACATGGAGTAAATATAAAAGACCATGTATTTTTCTTATTTTATTTATATCATATATGTCTGTTTAAAGCAAAAGCTATAACTGTATAAAGGGTTTTATAACATATATATAGGTTCACAAATATGAAAGTAATAGCACAAATGAGACAAGGTGGCCAACTGGAACGATACTGTTGCCAGGTTCTCCTGTTTTACATGAAGTAGTTAAGCGTACATATAGTAATCCCTAAAGCAATGATTAAAAAATCAATGCAAAGAAGTACAGCTGAAAAGGCAAGGCAAGAATGTAAAATAGAATATGAAAAAAAAATACATACTGCACGATGATTCCATTTATATGAGGTTCTAAAAGAGGCAAAACAAATCTGTGGTGAAAAATGGTTTCCTTTTGTGGGGGGAGGGCTTGGGCACAAGGGAACTTTCTGAAATGATAGGAAATGTACATATCTTGACAGGTATGTATGCACTTATCAAAGCTCAGCAAATTACATAGTTAAAATCTGTGCATTTCATTGTATATGGCTTTTACTTCAGGGAAAAAAAACTGTAAACACTGAACTCTAATGTATAGGTCTGCTTCTTATAGTGGTAAGGATTAGCAATTCTAAAGCCACTTTCTGTGTATTCTAAGCATGAGTAAAGATGTTGAGGACAGTGGAAGCCAGGTTTTTCACTGCCGGAGAATGGAGTTACAAATGAACTGAGTTCAGTTGGATTGAAAATGGAGATGTTGGTATGAATGCATGGTTTTTAAAAGATAGACCGATACACAGATAGATAGAGCAAAAGATACAGGGTGTGTGTGTGTGTGTGTGTGTGTGTGTGTGTGTGTGTGTGTGTGTG